CTAAATTGCTGAGGCTGGCCTCAAACTTGGGATCTTCCTGCTTCAGCCTCTTCAGTGTGAGGATTACAGATATGCACTAGTCATAGCAGGTTCACAATATTCTTTTTGACATATATATATTTTAAGTGTCACTCAAATGGTAGTTTATATTGTAGCGGTTGTAATATATACTACATTACTTTTGTACATGATGGTTCACAACCACAAATTTATTTTTAATCAGTAAATGTTGTCATAAATATATGTGATATTAAGGCTGGGAATATAGCTCAGTTGGTAGAGTGCTTGCTTTGCATGCACAAGGCCCTGGGTTCAATCCCCAGCATCACACACACAAAAAAATAAATTAAAAATAAAAAAAATAAATATGTGATATTAAAGCCTTTATTAATGGAATTTTAAAATGAATGAAGTTTTGGGCCTTCTCTTAGAAGCCATCTAATCCAGAGCCTTAGGTTTGAATATCTCTCTCTATGTTATTAAGATAATGAATTCGTATCTTCAGCCCCCTTTAAACTTCATAACCAAACGCCCATTAGACATTGCCTTTGGGTAATTGCTGATGTCTACATCTGAGCCCTTGATTTCTTTGCTTCATTCCTTTCAGAATCCATTTATTCTCATTTCAGTAATTACTCATGCCAGAAATGTGGAGATATTCTTGACCCCTTACTCTTCTTGACCCCCACATCTAATCCATTACCAAGCACTATCAAGTCCGTTTTTGAAGTTTTTGTGAGTTCATCTTCTGTACTACTACTACCCTAATCCTAACCACTATTGTTACTCTCTCAAATTTCTACAGTATTCTTACTGATCTTTTTCATTGACTTGTACCCTCTTTATTTCATTATATAGAAATCAGATGATTGTCTCCTGTCCCACTTATGTTCAAATCTCAAACCTTTCATTAGGCTCTTGACCTGTCCTTGTCTTTTCTGTTTCTTCCACTTCATCTCTTACTACACTGTACCTTTTTCTCAATCTTTCAGGAAAATTGTTTTCTCTTTGCTTTTCTTTGTCCCAAGATCTTTCCTCCACAGGCTGTTCTCTGTGCCTAGAATCTGCTTATTTCCAGTTCTTTACTTGGCTAACTTTTCATTCTTCAGATGGCAACTTAAATGTTATTTCTTAGCATTGCTTCCACTGGCCCTTTCATTAAGACTAGACCAGGACCCTCTAGGATTGACAGGTTTTTTTTGCACTTACCCAAAATTATGAGTACATTTTGTTTGTGTTTTCTTGTTCTATTCAGAATGTCTTTATTTACTTGCTTAATGACTATGAAATTTATGCAGACTTCTCAGTTTTGCTGTCATCACTATATTCTTGATATTTAATATAGAATCTTGCATAAAACAGGGACTTAATAAATAGGGAGTAAATTAATATTCAATGACAGTAGTGAATGGGAGAAAAATCTTTACCACATGCACCTCAGATAAGGTATTAATCTCCAGGATATATAAAAAACTCAAAAAACTTAACACCAACAAAACCCCCAAATGACCCAATCAATAAGTAGGCTAAGGAACTGAATAGACACTTCACAGAATTAATCAACAAATATATGAAAAAATGTTCAACATCTCTAACAATTAGAGAAATGAAAATCAGAACTAAGATTTCATTTCACTCTATTCAGAATGGAAACAATAAATGTTGGTGATGATATACTCACACATTGCTGGTGGGACTGTAAATTGGTGCAACCACTCTGGAGAGCAGTATGGAGATTCCTCAGAATGAAACCACCAATTGACCCAGTTATCCCACTCCTTAGTTTATACCCAGAGGACTTAAAATCAGTATACTACAATAACACAGCCACATCAATGTTTATAGCTGCTCAATTTACAGTAGCTAAGTTATAGAACCAACCTAGATGCCCTTTTAACAGGTGAATAGATAAAGAAACTCTGGTGTATATTATATACACAATAGCATATACTCGCCTTAAAGAAGAATGAAATTATGGCATTTGCCACTAAATGGATGAAACTGGAGAATATCATGCTAAGTGAAAGAAGCCAATCCCCCAAAACCAAAGGCTGAATGTTTTCTCTGATATAAGGATGCTAATTCACAATGTGGGGTGGGCAGAATAGTGGTATTTTGGACTAAACAGAGGGGAGTGAAAGGAGGGAAGGAAGGGACTATGGGGGTAGGAATGATAGTAGAATGAATCGAGCATATATGATTATATGACGTATGTAACTCTACATCATGTACAACCAGAAGAATGAGAAGTTATATTCCATTTATGTATGATGTGTCAAAATCCATTATACTGTCATGTGTAACTAAATATTCAATGGCAAGAACTCTGTTTACAAAGGACATTAGTATTGGAAGTACTCTAATCAATGATTTAATTAGTCTAATCTCCCTTCTATCATGTTCCTTGTGGCCTTGATGAAGGTGTGTGCAAACTTTGTTCCTTTTATACTCTGTAAAGACTCTTGATTCTTTCAGTTGTATTTCAAATGAGTAGTTTCTGTATCCTTTGTCATTCTTTTCTTTTGAGGCTAATCAGATAGAATAAAATAAGGTGATTACTCTCATTGACTTTAACAGTATGTTTCTACAGATGCTTGGTAGGATTGCATTCATGTCTCAGCAGTTGTAAGTGCAGATGTATTGAACTTAAGATTTGATGGCTATTCTCCATACAAGTTATCACAGGTGTTTTAGTCTCAAAGATGGAATTGACATGGATAGCACAGGTATATCCTTGTAGTAGGTTGGCAAGTATGTCACTAATACGTATGAGAGGAAGGAACTTTTATTGAGTTACCTGCTCTGTTCCACATAATCTTAAATACTTTATAATGTATATTTTACATTACATACATTAAATATCCACAGAGCAGTGCCAATAGAGGGTAACAATGTGTAGAATGAGTAATCTGATCTCTTGAATTTTAATTCTGCCGGTGTGATCTTTGTAAATTCCTCAAAATCTACTTGACTGTTTTTCATCTGTAAAGTTAAAATAATAATTGTACCTTTCTTATAAGATAGTCATGATAATTCTATAAGTTGATATTAGCAAAGCATTTATAATGGTTTTGACACGTAGTGGTGAATATGTATAAGCCATTATCTCATTCAATTCTTAAAATAACTGTGTCCTAGTATCATTTTAGTTATAAAGATGAGGAAACCCATTAGAGAGGTTATGTTAGTTACTTAAGGCAGATCCAAGATTTGAAATTATGTCAGGGCATATGAAAAAATGTTCAACATCTCTAGCAATTAGAGAAATGAAAATCAGAATTACGATTTCATCTCACTCTAGTCAGAATGGAACTCATCAAGAATACAAGCAACAATAGATGTTGGTGAGGATATACTCTCAGATTGCTGGTGGGACTGCAAATTGGTGCAACCACTCTGGAAAGCAGTATGGAAGGTCAGAGACATTTATGTGGAACGAATTGCACACAGATCCTTTTCTCTAAAAGGGACTGTGTGGCAAGTACATGAGACTCTCAGAGACTGCTCTGTAGGATGTTCTACGAGCTCTAGTGAACCAGAGTTGGCTACATATTGGCTTTAAATAAACTGATGAAGGCACAGTGACACTTAAAGATGTAACAAGTCATAGCAATCAATGTCCTGCCCAGGACTATGAGCTCCTTGAAGCAGAAACTGGCATTCTCATATTTGTATTTCTAGTACCTTACATTGGTCTGTACTATGTATGTAGCAGATGTTAGTGAATAAGTGAATGGATGAATAAGTAAGTGAAAGTATGGAAGAGCGGGAGGCAAAAATGAGGCCAGAGTTTTTTGGCATGGTGACAGAAGAGAGGGAGAGAAAAGTGCCATCTTTTAAATGTGGTAGCACATAGGGCTCAAACTGTCTGAACCAATATAATGCTCCAAAACTAGAATTGTATTTATCATGATGTAGACTAGCCATTTTTCTTGTTACTTATTTTTTTAAATTTTTTTCATAATACTTTTATGCTAAAGATCGAACCCTAGGCAAGCACTCTACCACTGAGCTTCAGCCCCAGCCCCTTATTATCTATTTAATTATTTTATTTTAAGGTCTGTAAGAGTTCACTGTGTATAATAATAATAGCCAGACCTTAACCAGAAAGGTTATCTTAGCTTTTCCCTAGTAAAAGCTCACTTTTATCCTAATCAAGTCAGATTTGCATTGTTTTTTAGGAAAATGATTTATTTGCTTTCATAATGATGCATGCTGCTTATTTAAATATGTGTAATTTTTAGAAAGTCTTTCTTTTCTATATGGAATAAATTAATAGAAAGATTCAAAGTGTTTTTTATTGTTTCCACAGGATTTGAATGAGTATTAATGAATATCTTATACTTTTAATTTAACATTTTCTGTTTTATTCTTAATATATTTAGGAATTTTCTTGGTAGTAATAAAATAACTTAATTACTTTGGAGTAGCCAGAATAGACTGTTAAGGATTTTTTCATTTTCTTTAGAGCTGTAATCTTGCTATATTGTCCAGATATGCTTCAAACTCTTGAACTCAAGTAGTCCTCCTGCTTCAGCATCCCAAATGACTGGACTGCAGATGTATGACACTGCTCCACCTTTTGAAATTAATGTATTTCTCTTGTTTTACATATGGCTGATCTGTGGTCAGGAGAAATTGCAAACTGTTGCTAAGTAATTTAAGCATGGAATTATAGTGCTTTGTTTTTTGTGTGTGTGTCTGTGGGTTTTTTTATATTATTTTTTAGTTTTAAAAAATTTTATTTCACTTGTTTATTTTTTTATATGATTCTGAGGATTGAACCCAGGGTCTCACACATGCTAGGTGAGTGCTCTACTGCTGAGCTACAACCCCAGCCCTGTGCCTGTGTTTTTTAAAATAAGGATAACGTTGACCTTTTAAAATGTATTTTATCATTTAAAGGTATGTTTGGATATTTGTTTTCCTCTCTTAGTTTTTGAAAACTTTTCAAAATTCAGTTATATTCATTACCCTGTTAATATTTTTTTGTCTTTCAGGAGTGAGGAAAAAGCAATAAGAGGTGGAGTCATTGTCAAGTGGTTGTGGCCTTCTACAAGAAATCTCATTGAGAAAAGGCATTTGCATTAGCAAAATAATAGGACTGGTTATTCAAGGTGACAGTATAACAGAAAACATTAAGATTGAACAATGACTCGGCTATATATTTACATCAGATTATTGGGAACCTATCTGTTCATCATTTCTCATGTTCAAGGTAATTTGATCTTTATTTCTGACTTAAAAAGCACTTAATTCTTTCATCTGTTCTCTCAGCCCATGTCTTTTTCTGATCAGCTAGTTTTTAAGTAAAAAGGCAAAGAACAAATTCAGCAAATAATTTTTTTGAGCTTGATTATGATAGAAGGCTGTCCAGATATTTTAAAATCTCAGCCTTTCTCAACCTATTTTCTTGTCCATATAAGGCATTATGATATACAATATTAAGTCTTATCTCCCTTAAAATACAATAAGGAATAAATGTAAATAATAATTAAAAATTATTTTATTGTCACTAAAAATCTTCAGAAATATAAATGTCATTTGCCTATGTTAAATACTAAAATTTCTTCATAGAGTCTTGAAACTTTATTTATGACCAGTGTTGTAATTTTACTTCTGTGTGCTCATAGCTTAGAATTCCCAAATAGGAAGTTATTATGATGATTTAGGATTAAATAGACTATATTTGCACAAGAGCTTTTTTCTGAATGCTTTAATTAGGGTAATATTTTAAACTGAAGAGATAGTACTGCTTTACAAAAAGATTTTAGATAGAACTTACTGACATCTTTATTTTCTTAAGGTTTTGACTTCACAGATTGCTCTTTCATAATGTTTGTTCAAGGACTTGGATTAATATCTACCCACAAGAAGAAGCATTGTTAACAGCATAAAGCTTTTTATATTTTTGTTTTAAAGCACAAAATGAAATCTGCACTTCTTTGCATTTGCTCTTATACCAAGAGTAACCTTATTATTACCATGCTCAGAATATAGAGCCCTCTTGCAAAAGCCACTTTGATACAACGCCTTTATTTGAATATCTGTTATATATGCCTTGTTGATTGGTATCAACCAAAGCTATCATAGTTGTAAAGAGAAGGAGTCAAATTAATAGTATCATTAATATTTACTGCCTCACTTCTAAGATAAATTCCACTTTGTTATAAAGAGTTTTAAATCTACTTAGCTCACATATTGGCAAAAGGTATAAAATTCTCATTCCACATCCCAATTCAAGTTAATTCTAAAGTAAAATTATTGGGTGGAGTAACTTGCTAATTAGTTATCAGGTATAAGCAAAAAAAATCACGTTTCTAGATGGATGCCATGTACATACCTGTAATCCCCAGCTACTTGGAAAGCTGGCCTGGATAACTTAGCAAGGCCCTGTCTCAAAATAAAAAATAAGGACTGGGGGTGTAGCTCAATTTTAGAGCACTCCTAGGTTTGTTCAAACATTACTACCAAGAGAAAGAGCTTGGGGTGGGGGGGGTTACATTTCTTTGATAAAGAACAAAATTTATACTATTTTCTTTCTGAAAATTACCTTGATAGTTGTTTCACATGATAACATGTACAAAAAATTTGCTCTTGAAAAAAAAATTAGAACCAATGTAGAAAAAATGTTACTTCTTAGAGAAAACTATGAAGGATTACAAGATTCATTGACAAACTGTGACTTTAGCTCTGGTTTTATCTTGAATTGTGTCTGAGGAAAGTAAATTTATCTGTACCTTCATTTCCTTGTGATAAAATAGAAATAATAACACTTATCCTAGATAGAAATAGGATGTTTTGAGCATCAGATGTTATGATATGTATTTAAGTGTTTTCCATTCATAGTTGTTTGTATTTGAATAGAAAAATGAGTCAGCTGATAAATACCTAAGGCATTTATTTACTTATATATTTGGACTTGATCAGAAATGTTAGAAATGAATTTTATTGTTCAGTAATTGATTACCCAACTAACAGTGACATAAATAAGTAAGGATTTATATTTAAGATAGGTGACAGGAAAAAAAAAGATAGGTGATAGGTAATTGAGTAGAGTCGAGGTTGCCATCTCTGTAATTTTCTTGGCATTTCCCTCATGGCCAGAAAATGGCTGCTGTTATCTACATTTGAGGCAGAAAACTGGGGAAAGAGTCAGCTCCTATTTTAGTGTGGGACTTGTAATATCAGGAAAGTCAAAATACCACCTGCTAGTAGATTTTATCTCAAACTAAGATGGTTGATCTTTCCTAATTTCAAGGAATATTAGAAAACAAGGTTAACAGGATTGTTACAGTTAGGTAAGGATTAAGCTTAGGTTAATCTATATTTGTTACCTTAGGCTGGATACACTGTCTCCTCTCACCCACTGAGCAAAATCGGTTTGGTTAGTTAGAAAAAAGGAGAAAATGTATTATCATACATGAAGAAGTTTGGAGATAGGTGGGTTGCCTTTAGCTAATTTTGTGGCTCATCAAGAGCCAAGTTTAATTCCCATTTCACTTGTACCATCTACCACATCTCAGTTTAGCCATGGGTTAACTTATTTGACAGCCACAGTGTAGCATCTGAAGAATAGGTATCACATTCAGACGTGGCAAGTTAGAGTTGACTGGTGTTTATTGAAAGAAGAGGGATGGGTATCCTTTCCTGTGTCTGTCTTTCTTTTTAAAAATATTTTTAGTTATAGTTGGATAGAATGCCTTATTTTTTATGTGGTGCTGAGGATTGAACCCAGTGGCTCACATGTGCTGGGCAAGTGCTCTACCACTGAGCCACAACCCCAGCCCCTTTCCTTTTTCTTAAAGTAGTAAAGAAATCTTTTCCCAGGAATCCCTCTCCCTCAAAAACTATTTTCTAATCTAGGTGATTAGAATTAATTACATACTCTGGTATAAACAAAAAACTGGCAAGGGGAATAGAACTGAAATTGTTGCATTAAACCAACAGTTATTGATGCTGAGGGGAGAGCTATGATTCCTTGAATTACATGTAGAGAGAGGCAGACATTTCAATCAAAAAATGGGTTGTGGGGCTGGAATTGTGGCTCAATGATAGAGCGCTTGCCTTGCACATGTGAGGCACTGGTTCAATTCTTAGCATCACATAAAAATAAATAAACATAATAGGGTATTGTGTGTCCATTTACAATTAAACAAAATATTTTTTTAAAAAGTGGGTTGTGTGAGCGGCACATCTTGCTTATAAGATAAAAGGGAGAAAAATAGCCATGCTAAACCCAAGGCCAACATTATTCTAAATGCAAAAAATTGAAAACATTCCAAGAACTGGTATAAGACAAGGATGCCCCTTTCACTACTTTTATTCATCATCTTGGAAACTCTAGCCAGGAGAAGGAAATTAAAGGGACATGAGTAGAAAAAGAAGAACTCAAACTACCACTGTTTGCCAGTGACATGATTCTATATTTATAGAAGATCCAAAAAATTCCACCAGAAAACTTCTGAAACCAACGTTATTTCAGCAAAGTACAGGACATAAAATTAACACCCATAAATCAAATGTGTTGCTATATATCAATGATGAATCCTCTAAAAGAGAAATTAGGAAAACTACCCCATTCACAATAGTCTAAAAAAATAAATAAAAAAAATAAAAAAAAATTTCAGGCATCATTTCAACAAAAGAGGTGAAAAAAAACCCTCTACAATGAAAACTATCGAATACTAAAGAAAGAAATTGAAGAAGACCTTAGAAGATAGAAAGATCTCCCACGCTCTTGGATAGACAGAATTAAAACTGTCAAAATGGCCATACTACCAAAAGCATTATATGCAATTCCTATTAAAATCCCAATTACAGGGGGCTGGGGATATGGCTCAAGCGGTAGCGCGCTCGCCTGGCATGCGTGTGGCCCGGGTTCGATCCTCAGCACCACATACAAAGATGTTGTGTCCGCCGAAAACTAAAAACAAAAATAAATACATATTTAAAAAACTCACTCTCTCTCTTAAAAAATAATCCCAATTACATTCTTCACAGAAATAGGAAAAACAATCATAAAATTCATTTGGAAAAATTTGAGACCCAGAATAGCAAAGCAATTCTTAGTAAGAGAAGTGAAGGAGGCATCATAATACCAGACCCATAGTAACAAAAATGGCATGGTACTTAGACGAGTGGTACAGAATAAAAGACAAACCCACATAAATACAGTTATTCATACTAGATAAACGTGCCAGAAACATACATTGGAGAAAAAGATAGCATCGTCAACAAATGGTGCTGGGAAAACTGGAAATCCATAGGTAGCAAAATGAAATTAAATCACTGTCTCTCACCCTGCAGAAAACTCAACTCAAAGTTTATCAAGGACTTAGGCACTAGAACAGAGACTCTACACCTAATTGAAGAAAAAGTAGGCCCAGATCTTCACCATGTCAGCTTAGGAAATAACTTTCTTAACAAGACTCCTAAAGTGCAAGAAGTAAGATCAGTAAATAGGATGGAATCAAACTGAAAAGCTTCTTCACAGCAAAGAAAACAATCAATAATGTGAAGAAAGTCTATAGAATGGGGGAAAATATTTACCACATGCATCTCAGAACATTAATCTCCAGGGTATATAAAGAACTCAAAAGGCTGGAGATGTAGCTCAGTTGGTAGTATGTTTACCTTGCATGCAGAAGGCCCTGGATTCAGTCCCCAGCAACACACACACATACACACACACACACACACACACACACACACACCCCTCAACATCACCAAAACCCAAATGACCCAGTCAACAAATAGAGTAAGGAACTGAACAGACACTTCAGAAGAAGAAATACAATTGATCAACAAATATATGAAAAAATGTTCAGCATCTCTAGCAATTAGAGAAATGAAAATCAAAACTTAAGATTTCATCTCACTCTAGTCAGAATGATAGTCTTCAAGAATACAGGCAATAGTAAATGTTGGTGAGGATGTGGGAAAAAAGGTAACTCATACATTACTGGTAGGACTGCAAATTGGTGCAACCACTCTGGAAAGCATTATGGAGATTCCTCAGAACACCTGGAATGAAGCCACCATGTGACCCAATTATCCTGATCCTCAGTTTATACCCAAAGAACTTAAAATTGGCATACTATAATGACACAGCCACATCAATGTTTATAGCTGCTCAATTCACAATAGCTAAGCTATAGAACCAACCTAGGTGCCCTTCAGTAGGTGAATGGATAAAGAAACTCTGGTGTATATACACAGTGGAATATTACTCAGCCTTAAGGAAGAATAAAATTATGGCATTTGCCACTAAGTGGATGGAACTGGAGAATATCATAATAAGTGAAATAAGCCAATCCCAAACAGCCAAAGGCTGAATTTTTTCTCTGATATGCAGATGCTAATTTACAATGGGGGGAGGTGCTAGAGAAGTATAGAGGTACTTCGGAAGAGGGCAGGGGAGGAAAAGAGGGAGTATGGGGTAGGAATGATAATAGAATGAATTGGACATTATTACTGTATATACTTATATGATTACATGACCTGTGTAATTCTACATCTTGTACAACCAGAAGAATGAGAAGTTATACTTCATTTATATATGATGTGTCAAAATGCACTCTACCATCATGTATAACTAATTAGAACAAATTTTTAAAAAGAAGGGAAAAGAATAACTTATAGATATGTTGCAGGGCACTAGATTTGTCTATTGTCATACATAGCTTTATAGCATATACTAAAAAATGCTTATGTTCATATGAAATGCTTAATTCCTCCTCAACAGGATATATGCTCCAGAGTTTAGCCCACTTAGTGCACTCAGACTTCTGGACAGTAATTCTTCAGATCCAGATGTGCTGTTCATGGTGCAGCAACGTGAGACTGAAAAAAAAATTATTTATGTGCAATGTACTTTAGTATGCAGCGATGAAGAAAAGTAGGTATAAATACTAGATGAACTTCCAAAGGAAGGAAAATTTGGAAACAACTAAAGTAATCATTGTTCCCTAGTACATAGATGGAGGATGATTGTTAGGCTATCTGACAACCTCTGGTTTTGTTTTCTGGGAAAATTTCCCTTGTCTCTGGTCTTCCTTCACTAGTGTTCCTGCCTTCATGGCCTTATCTAAGATGTACTTAGTGAAGGATGGTCTTTATGAAGAGTGAATAGCTTTGGCAGCCTGTTTCTTGTTAATATGGAGATCTAGTTGCTAGAAAGTGCCTTACAGATAGAGAACTCACAGCCTAAGTCAGGTGACCATTGGGATATCTTTGACAATGTACCTCCACCATTTGCATCTTGTGTCTTTGTGTTAAATATAGTTAAATCTTGCCTAGATGTGGTATTCTGAGACTTCCTGACTTCTTAACCATTTACCTTTGCCTTGCCTCTTCTCCTGGCCATTGGTTTAATGATCTTATTCTGAATCACTCTTTTCTTTTCTCATGCTAGAAAGTGAGTCCACTTTATTTGGTGTCATAACATTTTCTATGAATAAATATTAAAATAGTACTAATTATTATCTTGGTTTTTATTCTCATTTTCCATCTAAGACTATGAACTCTAATGGAAAAGGGACTTTGGTTTTGTTTACCATTGTAGTCAACAGGACTTAAAATTGTAGTTACTTCATACATTTTTCACCTAATAAATGAATGCAGTTTGTGGGGGCAGGGGTGGGGGTGTTGTAGAATTCTTTTTTTAGCCAGTTATTTTTAGAGTGATTGACAACCTAATAGCAACAAATATCTGTAACAACAGAGTATGGTCTCTGATTATCTTTTTCCACTGGAAAGATCTAGGAGTCCTTGGAGATATTGTTTATTTTAAGTCTGTCAGGGAAATATGAGGTGATTTTAGAAGATCTTGGCCAACAGAAACCTCAGAGGATATGGGGACCAGTTTGAATTGGTCAGAGATGGAACAATGAGCATTAGTAAGGATAGTAACTGCAGTGGTTTAAATCTATGGTTTTATAATGACACTTAAAACAACAACAACAACAAACAAAACCAACTGGTTACTGTTGAAGGATGCTAATAAATTTATTAACTTTGAAAACTGGTAGAGGGACAAATCAAGCACTAATCATGCCTTTCTTGAAGGAACTGTGCCGCTTGTACCCAGGTTAGTAAATGAGGGAAAACTTTTCATTATACAGGTATTATAGGTCATAAGTAAGAAGAAATGACAGGCTACTCTTTTCTTTTTTTTAACTACCCCCATTGAAGTAATGAATCTAGGTCTTGAAAATAGAGATAAGCAGATATTTGTGTCCCTCTTTTCCACAACTTACCAAGTAGCCACATTTCAGGTGCTTAGGAGCCATGTGTGGCTAGTGGCTATTATACTGGATAGCATGGCTCTTGATCTAACTACCACATACAGAAACCTATTTTATGGGCAAGAAGGATGCAGATAGAAAATCTAAACTCTGGTATATTCTGTAGGACAAACAATCCAGTTTCTTCAAGGAAAGAAAGAAAGAGTTTGAAGATTAAAAGAAACATGGAGTTGGAGGGTAGGGGAGTAGCTCAGTGGTAGATAACCTGCTTTGCTGCATAAGGTCCAGAGTTTCATCCAAGGTGCTCACAGAGAAAGACACATACACAGAGGCTTGGAGACAATCTATTATGATGTGTGAATTGTGAACTTTATAAACTTTAAAACAGGTTATAACATATTCAATACAATTAAAAACTTGAATACTGCCTGGTTGTTTGATATTGGACAAAGAATCAAATTACTGTCAATTTTTTTAGAAGTGATAATGGTATCATAATTGGTTTGTTTTGTTTGTACTGGGGATTGAACCCAGGGGTGCTTAACCACTGAGCCATATCCTCAGGCCTTTTGTGATTTTTATTTAGAGACTGGGTCTCACTGAGTTGCTCAGGGCTTTGCTAAGTTGCTGAGGCTAGCTTTGAACTCACAATCCTGTCTGAGCTTCCCAGGCTGCTGGGATTATAGGTGTGTGCCACCATGACTGGCTTCATGATTGTTTTTTTTTAAAAAGTCTTCATCTTCTAGAGGTATGTGTTGAAATATTTACAAATAAAATGGCATATCTGGCATTAGCTTCCTAATTTATATATACGGGAAAGAGAAATAACAGAAGCATTGCCATTTTATTACAGTATTTATTTCTGAAAGGAGAGTGGTGGTGAGGGGGCTGGGTAGGGTGTGTGTGTGTGTGTGTGTGTGTGTGTGTGTGTGTGTGTGTGTACCTCCAACTCCTTTTTTTTTGTTTAAGTAGTTTCCTCTCCTGGTGTTTGTTTCTATGAATATTCATTCAGTAGTGCATTCCTTTACTAAATTTCGGCATGAAAAGTTAAGATTATTCAAATTCAGAGTATAAAGAGACTACACTACTTCTTTGGTACTGAGGATTGATCCCAGAACCTTGCATGTGAGCACTCTACTGCTGAGTATATCCCCAACTCATTTTAATTTTTTGTATTGAGACAGGATCTTTCCAAGTTTCCTAGACTGGCTTTGAACTTGATCCTTTTGCCTCAGCCTCCCAAGTAGCTGGGATTGTAGACATGCACCATCATCCTTGGCTACTAAAATACTTTTTTTTTTTTATTGGTTGTTCAAAACATTACAGTGCTCTTGACATATCATATTTCATACATTTGATTCAAGTGTAAAATACTTATTTTAACAGCACTTTCTTTTCTATCATTGTTCATTGAGTATGTGTGTATTATTGGGTTTTTAAAAATCTTTTAGTGATTCATTTTATCATTATGGCTAAATTCAAAGTCAGGTCCACATTTTGAATCACTTATTTAAGATTCATAACAAAATTCACACATACTTCTCTTATCTGTTTGACTCTACCTTTCTTTCTTTTGAGAACAATGCACAAGAAATGGCCTAGTAATTTCAGCTGGTTGAGAAGGAGGAAGGAATATTAAAACAGATGTTTGCTTTCTGTTCTGCTTCCAGCCTAAAACATTCAGGACCACATATGACAGTATCTGTCATTTGAGGCCACTAGACTCTAATGCAAGAATCCAGTTCTATTTCCATGAGCTGACTATTGACCTGTAGTAATCTTCAGTTTCTGGCAGCCTGGTCTGGATTTGAACCAATGACCTTGAGATGAAAGGCCCCGGATAACACACTTGGTCCCCAGCTCTCACAGTTTTCTTACTTAAGCAAATGGAGTCCCAAACAAGATGCTTAGAACTCCCTTCACAAAGAGGCACAAATAAAGAACCTTTTTTATTATTATTATTGCAAGTTTTGAAAGAAAAAGAAGGACCATAGTTCGTCTATTTTTTAGTGAATGAAAATGACCTCAGCCTTCCCTAAAGTCTCTTCCCATTTTGTACCTTTTTTACAAGTTAAAACTAAATTCTGTTGTCATTCAATTCATATTGAATTCATGCTGTGTTGTTCTTGTTTGTCTTTAATTAGTGTAAAACTTGTAACCTAGTCATCTCATATAGGTCATAGTACATGGAACATTCTGTGCATGAGTTTATTAACAAATGTCTGTTAATTGTATGAGTGAAATTTATTTTTTAATTAAAGAAATACATTCATTGCAATTGTTGTAATAGAAAAGTGCAGAAACTTACCTCAATGAAAATGGTAATAATATAGCCTATCAGAAATGATTTATTTAAAAATTGAATATTTGAATATAGGACAGAATCTAGACAGTATGCTCCATGGCACTGGGATGAAATCAGACTCCGACCAGAAGAAGTCAGAAAATGGAGTGACATTAGCACCAGAGGATACCTTGCCTTTTTTAAAGTGCTATTGCTCAGGACACTGCCCAGATGATGCTATTAATAACACATGCATGTAAGTATTTGGTGCTGTCCTTAAGAGTTTCGAAAAGTGCATCTAGTGCTGTTTTAAAAATAGTTAAAATTGAGTTTTTTTTCTTTATATATAATATCTTTCAAAGAGCCAAATTTTCTTGTTTTGAATATAGGAACATTGTTCTTTTTAAGTGATTGATGATTGTTTTATTAGAGGTATACCATAATATAGATTTTAAAGGAGATAAAAGAAATATAGTATTTGTCTAACATTTTAATGATCTTTTTATTTATAAAATTAATGATACTCATTGTAGAAAACTGTTTCTTTTTGTGTAGATTACCAAAAAGAAACCAAATAATTTTACCGATGACTTCCTGCTTCTTAATTGGTTGAAATATTTTATAGATATGTAAGAATGATATTCAATCCATATTACTTTCTTATTTAATTTTATGTTAATTGTTTGTATGTTTATATATGATCATGTAATTCCATTCCATATTTTTTGGGGAGCATTGAAGAATTGACTTACTGGACAAAGTAAAAATTTCCTGAACAACTGTTTCATTAGTCTTATTAATGGTCTCCCTGTTATATAGGTAATAAGTAAGGTCATGTTTTGTACTTCCCTAATAATCTTATGCTCTTTGAGCAGACTAGATATAATGCATAAAACTTGACCCATGAAATCTTGAAATCATATGATAGTTCATTTTAGATTTGCCATCGGTTCTCCAGTGGTAGTTGACTTAATCATAGTAATCTACATGTAGACCACTTCCCAGTTTACACCTTCTTGGGAATTTTGTTTGTAAGGGAATGCTCTATTCTATGTTAACAAATAATTTTTTTTGCCAAACTCTATGTCTGTGGTACCTCCCTGATAGGATGGGCTCAATTTGTTAGTGGCTTAGTAACCCAGTGTAAAACTGATCATCAATTTTAACAGAAGTTTACACCACACATAACATCTTCTCAATAGAAAAGGAAGAAATAAAGAATTCTGCGCTGGGGATGTAGCTCAGTTGGTAGAGTGTTTGCCTCGAATGAGAACATTTTCATTAAATAAAAATATATTTCTGTAAATTTCTTGAAAATTAAACTATTCAAAAATTCTTCCTGTGTTCCTATCACATTTAATAAGAAAAATGCCTTTCAGAATCTTTGTCCATCTGTTCTTCCTGTATACACTTTTCTTTGTCCTTGAGTCTGTTTGTAGTTTTACAGAAAAGCTTTTTATTTATTTTCATGCATAGTTTAAGAATGCTGAAATATTAGCAATAAAAAAGAGATTTTAAGTATATTTCTGAAAGATTAACACTTGTATAGAATTTTATAAATCAGGTTTCGGTGATCCCATGACTGAGAAGTTACATGACAATGCACATTTAGAGGACTTGTTTGGTAGAAATCCTTTTCTGCTTGACATAGGGTTCTCATTTACCCCTTTAGAGTATAGTTCAGACATAACTTTCATTTGTCTTAAAGTCTATTTTGTTCTGTTAATAAATCACATGTGAATATAATCCCGATTTAGAAACAGAATACTAAGGGTTAAGAGTATCTGTTCACATTCAAACTCAGATTTCATTAGGATTTTATGATTTGGAGTTAAATGTTTTTTTGTTTTTCTCTTAGAACTAATGGTCATTGCTTTGCCATCATAGAAGAAGATGATCAGGGAGAAACCACATTAGCTTCAGGATGTATGAAATATGAAGGATCTGATTTTCAGTGCAAGGTAAGATCTAATTGGAAATCCTGAAATAAAAAAGGATAGGGCTATGTGAACAGCATTAGGTCTTTTAGAAGAGTACCTGTGTTCCACATTGTTCTGTGTTCACATTATCAAATATATTGGAGGAAGCGTACTTTTTACTTTAAATAACATGATTGTGCTAATTGAAGTTCCAGATTATTTTTAAGGTTTTAAATAATAGTTTTTAATAACTGCAAAAATGATATTGTTATACTTATTTGTATATTGTAAAGCTTATTGAAAAGACGTTACAATTTTGGGCATGGTGGCACAACCTATAATCCCAGCTACTCAAGAGGCTGAGGCATGAGGATTGCAAATTCAAGGCCAGACTTGGCAATTTAGCAAGATCCTGTCTTAAAAAACAAAAAAACAAAAACAAAACAAAACAAAAAACAAAAAAGAAGAGTTGGGAATAGGGCTGGGTGGTAGAGTGCGCCTGGGTTCAATTCCCACTACAAAACAGAAAGGGAATCTTAGAACAATGGGCAATAACCTTTGTTCCCCCAAAACAGCTTAGATATGTTTAATCCTTGTGAGGAAGTGTCAGGATACTTTTAAGAGCAGTGGCCAAAGAATCAGGATCGGTAATTGAGTGGTAGACATCTTTGGTTATGAACCTAATCTAATCTCTTCAAGATTTTATGTGGCAATTTCTCAAGAGATCCTGCCAGTGTTCTTGAAAAACATTTCCAGATTATTTTAATTTTAACTAAACAGATTGAACTGTTAGTACACAATTTTAAGTCTCAGCTATGCCAGAAAATTATTTATATTATATAGATATTTGCAGAATTGCTAGAAACCTTCAATGTTATATCTTTTTACTTGTCAGTTAATGCTTAGAATCATCCATTTGGCAAATGACTGCAAATCTGTCAACTTTTGATTCTTTGGACCATAGAGAACAGCTCTAATCCTTCCTCAAGATGATGGCCCTTAACTATGTAAAGAAAGAAAGTTTTTTCATGCTACTTTCCTCCCTCTGTCTTTGCCTAGTGAAAATAATAGTTTACTGTGACCTCAACTGCTTGTGTAATCAGCTTTAGAAGATTCACTAGTCTCAGTGTCATATGCAGAATTGTAGTCTTACCAGGAAACAACAACAACAAAAAAGGCAGAGAATAAATAATCCCTTTTTCTTCTTCTAAATACAGTCAAATCTCATGTTAGATGTTTGGCCATCACACCATATTCTTGAGACATTAATCTTCTGTCAGCTAAAAGCACCATGTCATGCTGCTGAGCCACACCTCTTCCACTCTTTACTGGTGGTATTTGTTTCTTGAACACAAATAAGTTAGATGGGAAAATTTTGAGTTTTACTATATATTTGTTACACACTTGCCAGTTTTGAATTTCACTGTATAGGAATTAATCCTGTTCTCTGGATTTGAAACATGTTAATTTAGTTATTATAGTTTTATGATATTAGCATATTACCGACCATTCATACTACATATTTTTTAATCGCTTAAGAAGATTGATGAAGGAGCTGTAGTTAAAGCACCGAGCCCAATGGTAGTATCAAGTGTCCTGCAGTCTCCTAAATTAGATTTCTTCCAAACTGAATTCACCACAGAAATTAGTTACTAAACTTGACAATATTCATCTAAACCCATGGTAGTTCTTAATAGCTGTGACAGTCTTGTCAAGGAGCTTATTTTCTCATCCACAAAAGACTTGTTAAAAGGATCAAATGAAATACCATAGTACAATTGACACATAGTAGGGACCTAATAAATGTTAGTCTTTGCCACCCTGATTATCTGAGCAGTCTTCAGACTATGTTACCCATATCCCTAGGTACACACAGACTGTGTTATATAAAAGTAACTTGGGCACATGGATAGTTACAAGGGAATCAGGTTGCAAATCTTAAACATTCTTAAGCCCTGAAGCTTTGCTGTGCCTGAAAACAGAGCTTCTCAAGCCATTTTTCTTTTCTTTCTTCCCTTTCACAGTCACCCTTCTCCTTGTTAACCAAAGCTAGATATAAAACCTCAAGATTCTACAGGCTGGGGATGTGGCTCAAGCGGTAGAGCGCTCGCCTGGCATGCATGTGGCCAGGGTTCAATCCTCAGCACCACATACAAACAAAGATGTTGTGTCCGCCGAAAGCTAAAATAAATATTAAAATATTCTCTTTCTCTCTCTCTCTTTAAAAAAAAATAATAAAACCTCAAGATTCTAAACAGTGCTGTGGATTATAAATGAAAGCATCCATGTAGAGAACACAAGAAAATCAAATACATTTACATATCAGGTGGTTTTTAAATTTTTTGCTCTCAGCCAAATTGCTGTATCATTGAAGGTAATTTTTGATGATAGGATCATTACTTTGGAAGGACTTTAAAGAATTATGGGATAGTGGTATAACAAACTGCTTCCATTATCATCTTTTTGTTAATGTAAGCAAAATTTCTTAGAGCTAATAAAAAAGAAAAATAGGAGTAAAATTAATGCTGAATCTTCTCATTGTTGTTAGAGTTAATAAAAAAGAAATATAGTAAAATTATTGCTGAATATTCTCATTGTTGTAATAAGTAATTTTATTCATGAATTCATAAACTACTATTTTGAAAACCCTAACCATCTCATTAAGAAATGCCTCTTTAAATTTTCTCATATTAACATTTTAATAAAGATTATAGTGTATCTTTTTTCCTCCATAATGCAAGCCCTCTACCACTGAGCCATATATACCCTTAGCCCTAGATTTTAGTATATCTTATTTTGATCAGTTTGATAACTGATAATTACAGTAATGAACTAGGATGTTTTGAGTCTTACAAACACACAGTAACAGAAATAGAAGAATTTATATATACTTATTTTGATGTGAAGAATTATGTACATTAAGGCATAATTATTGTGAAAAAATATTTCAAGGAAATAGAAGTTCCAGGATAAAATTTCAAGTTGTTAATAGAAGCATTTGCCAGGTGCAATAGTGCATGTTTATAAATCCAGCAGTTGGGAGCAGAGGATCACGAGTTTAAAGCCAGCCTAAGCAAAAGTGAGGTGCTAAGAGACTCAGTGAGACCCTGTCTCTAAGTAAAATACAAAATAGGGCTGGGGATTTGACTCAGTGGTCAAATGACCCCGAGTTCAATCCCTCGTACTAAATAAATAAATAGATAGACAGACACATAGATAGATTTGTTGCCAAGAGTTAATAAGTGGGATGGCATCAAATTAAAGAGCTTCTGAACAGCAAGGGAAACAATTAAGATTGTGAAGAGAGAATCTACAGAATGGGAGAAAAATTTTGCTAGCTACTTTTCTGACAGAAGATTAAGATCCAGAATAAATAAAGAACTCAAAAACTTATTATACACATACACAAATAACCCAATTAATAAATGGGCAAATGAACTAGACAGACAACTTCTCAAAAGAAGAAACACAATGAACATATGAAAAAATGTTCAACACATCCTTAGCAATTAGGAAAATGTTTATCAAAACTACACTGAGATTTCATCTCACTCTAGTCTTAATGGCAGCCATTAAGAATTCAAACAATAATAAATGCTGGAGAGGATGTAAAGGAAAAGAAGGGAGGAAGGAGAAGAGGGAAAAGGAAATACTGGTAAATGATAGTGACCAGACAAATTATATCGTTATATGGTGTGCATCCGTGAATATGCAACAACCAGTCCAATCATTATGTATAACTGTAATGCACCAATAAAAAATAATAAGAAAAAAAGCATTTGTTTATTTTAAAGAATTTTTTTACTCCATCTGCTATTAGTTTTGTTTATTTATTTTTATGTGGTACTGAGGATCAAACCTGTGCCTCACATCTGCTAGGCAAGTACTCTACCACCGAGCCACAACTCCAAGCCCCCATTTGTTTTTTTTTTTAAAGATGATAATGGATATCACATTGCTATATGTTATTTAGATTCTACTGAATAAAGAACGAAGTAACATTTCTATTTTAAAGTATTGTTTTCAGTAAGACAAATTATTAATATATTGTTTGTAGCTTTTAAATTTGTGGTAAAAAAATTCTAGATGTAGTCTAAAAATATGAGGAATACATTGTTTTAAAAAACTTGTTTAGCAAGACTGAGGATGTAGGTCAGCGGTAGAAAGCTTGTCTATGAGGTCATGGGTTCAATCCTAGTACTGCAGAAAAATAAAAATTTGTTTAGGATCCACACATGCAAAAAGATTTGACCAGCACTTATCTAACTTTCTATATATCTTGGTAAACATCACTTTATTAACCTAGCACCAAACCCCAAGAAGAACAGCTTTTAGTCTCACCCTAAACCTTCCTCACAGTGGTTGCATTGCCAAGCTGTGGATCAAAATAAATACAAGTGTTTTTCGCCATGCTTTTAATTTCTTACTGTCAAGCTTCAATCTCCATTGGCATATCTAGCTTGTTCTTCCTATACAATAATTCTTTTTCAGGAACCTAATTTTCTTGTCCATTTCTTTTAACTTGACTTCATTTCTTTCCTCATGTACTATCTCTGGCCCATGCAAATGAAATACGTTTTCTTAAGTTAGAACCTTCCACTTCATAAATGCCAAGTGACTTTTTCCCCATAAGGATTTTTATTCCCCACATGTCTGAAACTACAGATTAACTTGGGTGGAGGGAGGACGAAGGCAGTACAGGGAAGGGAAAAAGTTCTGTCATTCCAGCTTCACTGCCCAGACAATTGTGGCCAAAGATGTAGCTCAGTGCTAGAGTGCTTGCCTAGCTTGTGAGGTCCTGGGTATAATCCCAGCATCACAGAAGGAAAGGTAGTAATCTGGGCAACCCTGACTTTTGCCCACTCAGGTTGTTAACCCGTGTAAGATAAATGTGAAGTGAGTCTGATGTTGCTTATTTTTGGTGAAGCCAATCTGGTATTCCAGATCTGCCCAAGATTCTTTGGCTTATTCCAAAATTTCATCTGAGATTTATGTCAGGCTCACCTTAGGAAGAACTAATTCATTAAATATTTACTGTTTGCATTCTTATCCAGAGAAAATGAAAGCCTAAGGAGAAGTTAGATGTTCAAGGTCACAACATGAACAACTGGCAAGGCTCAGATTTAAATGATTCCAAAGCCCTTGTTTTTTCCATGATACTATGCTGCCTTCAATTTGTTGGCAAAGTCTTTCTTTCGCTTTTAAAGAAAAGTAATGACATTTAGCTATCTTGTTTCTAGAGCACCTTATTTCCAAACTCTTTTAAGTAATACTTGTCTTTCAGCTATCTCACAACTCTTCCTGGAATATAACTCACTGGATTAGAAGATGTGGACTCATGTAGAATAGAAAAACATCATAAGATCTCTTTATTCCTCTGGGATATCAGTTCCCACTACCTGGTATTTGGTCTGTCTTCTTCATTCCTGTATTCAGCCTTAATAGAGAGGACACAAACAGCAGTGGAGGAATCGTACATCTTTGTCCTTCATTTTCCAATTCATTGCTTGGTAGGCTTTCCCCCTGTACTTCCAAAGAAGCCCTTTTTCCCCATGACTAGAATCTTTTTCTCTGTTGGTTTTCTGACTTATTAGGGATACCTCTCTTTTCTGGATGGTGGTCTCATAAACTCTCAGAAGTATTGTGTCTGTATTTTGCCCTTTCCCTCGCCTGCATAGTTTAGCTTGCCTCTACATCTTTCTAGTTCATTAATTGCTAGATGCAGAATCTGTATCTTTTACAACATGGACACCTCTCTTAACCAGTCTATTCTTTGCACTAGGACCTCCTCCACATTTTAGTCTGATCTTAAGTCTCATCCAAGTCTCAGTACTACTAAGATCATATTTTCCATACTAGTTTATGGTTATATTAAAATTTATTACCTATGTTTTCTAGGAAGACATCATGAATTAATTACTTTTTACCAAAAACAACTGAATGGTAATTTATCAAAATAGGCCATTGAGGCTGAGGATGTGGCTCAAGTGGTAGCGCACTCACCTGGCATGCATGCGCCTGGGTTTGATCCTCAGCACCACATACAAAACAAAGATGTTGTGTCCGCTGAAAAAAACTAAAAAATAAATATTAAAAAAAAAATAATCCATTGTTTGGTAGGAAAACACTGGAACTTTTTGTCCATCTGTAATTAAGTTGTAGTCTAATGTTCTAAATACCATCCATACATATGTTCTCCTTAAGGAAAATCATTTTATAATCTTCACACATTTTAATTTTTCAGTAATATTTATTTTTACATATAAAATTTGCAGATCCTTTTCACTCACTAAATGAGAAATTGTATTTTATCAGTACTAAAAATAAGTTTAATGTATCAAATCATTTCTAATATTACCATTATTTTTCCTCTAGGATTCACCAAAAGCCCAACTTCGCCGTACAATAGAATGTTGTCGGACCAATTTATGTAACCAGTATTTACAACCTACACTGCCCCCTGTTGTTATAGGTAGGTTATCCTGGAAAAGTCAGAGCATGAGTCTCTGTAAAATATTTTTTCTGATTTTAACAATAACCAGATTACTATATTAAAACTATAAAATCACACTGTAAATTATGTTTTCCTTTTAATAAGTTGTGATTGAAAGATACTCTGGTCACTTAATGTTTACTTTTCATTGTCAGGTCCATTTTTTGATGGCAGCATTCGATGGCTGGTTGTTCTCATTTCCATGGCTGTTTGCATAATTGCTATGATCATCTTCTCCAGCTGCTTTTGTTACAAGTAAGGAGATAACTTATTTGATGTAAAATATTCTGTTAAATAGTAGATATCAACAGTTGTTTTTAAAACCAGTAAGCAGAAACTACTGACTGCTATATGCAATTCAGAAACTATTAATTTGTATTCTCTGGTTATATTATCTTAATTTTAACTAGATTATAGTTTCTTTAAGAGGTAAGAGGGTTTTACTACCAATCAATTAATTGAACACAATTTTATATTTCTGTGATTTTCTTGTTTACAGAATAGTGAGATTTGTCTCTATTATACTTCAAGAAATGTGCAAATACCAGAAACTGGGCATTTAGGCTTCCTTCACAATTTTTATTTTTTTGGGGGGGCGGTGGTGGTGCTGGGGCCTTGAACATGCAAGTACTCTACCAACTGAGCTATATCCCCAGCCCTTCTTTCACAATTTTAAGCAAAATATTATAGAGAATTCCATGACTGCTTTGTTTATTTAGCTTTTGAACTATCTACTTGAAGATACACTACTTATCAGTTGTATAAGATTATTAATTTGGGATATTTATTCATGTTTAGCTGGACTTGAACAAGTCAGTTTGCTGTTCATAGCAAGCCATAAAAGGATAAAATTAAAGAGAGGTCTTTTAGCATATTAAGGTTCATCTTTATTATGTGTCTCATTAACCTTTTATTTTCACTTTTTCTGGTGACCTGTTTCAGTTAATCTAGATAAATCTCCAAATTTATGCTTAAATTTACATTCATAACAAGACCCTCAAAATCAATCTTCTCTAAAACCTCTTAAACTATCACCATTCTCCATTCTGGATTAATTATCATTTTGTACTGTTCTGCCAGTTCCTTATACTTTCCTCTGGCATAGAATTTCTCATTCTCTTTTGTAGCTCCTTTAATCCTTAACACTGGTTAGATCTATGATTCTACCCTTTACACTTAGTACTTTCACCTTAAATCTTTTACATTCACAAATATTCACTTACTTATCATAAATATCTGGCTAAAGTCTGCCTTTCCTATTGAATAGGAATCTCAAGGACAACAGAGATTACCTGGTCCATTAATATTGATGGCCAACTAAGCTGTTTAAATTGTTGCTTCTCCGTTGAATTATTATGGATGAAAATGGTGAATCAGCATATCCCCCTTGCTTGGCACACAGTACTCAGTAACTTTTTGTTGGTGTTTACCAGCCATCCTTTGGCCCAGAATGCTGCTTGGGAAACAGTCTCACTGATTAATTTATGAGATATAAAGCCCACTGGTAGCTTGATAATGGGTCATTCATCTTCACTCCTATTAGAGGACTTCTGGTCCCATAGTAGTTCAATAATAAAAATAAGCAATTTTGAAACTATAGTAACAGTAGCCAAAAAAAAAAAAAAATTGCCAAGTAATGTTTCATTTAATAAGAATATAAACACTAATTGTATGCCTAATGAAGATGCTGTTGATCAGCTTTAAAGTGATTAAAAATAAGAAAAATTGTCATCCATGTTTATTTTTTATAATTTCCAGCAAAATTTAGAAATTTAATTCTAAATTTTAAATTCAAGTTTTCATCTGATATCCTGTTACTTTTTTGCTTAAATTCATTGAATGAATATTTATAATATGATCAGAATGTTTTAAGATAAAATAAAAATCATGCCAAATATGTGATACAAAATATAAAACAAGACAACCAGTGAAATGAGAACATATTCAATCAAGTTTCAACAGTGTTAAGAAGTAACAGTGGTAAAACAGTAATTCTGCCAACTGCAAAAGAGATACAGAGTTTCACAACAGGTAGTATAGAAACATTTGTAGATCATGAGCATTTAAAATAAATTCCACAACTGAGAATGGCTTTACTTCCCTGGTGATGGCAGGCCTACAAAAATCAATTGACAAAAACATCACTCAGTAATAACATGAAAATCAATTTCAGATGAATCTTTTTTAAAAAACTAGAAGAGGCCAGCAATATTGTTGGTATTGTATTACCCACAATAGTTGTTTTAAAAAAAAAAAAAACTACTACTCCATTTATTATGCTAATGTATTCTAGGTACTGTGCTAAGCATTTTACATATATTATCTCCAGTAATTCTCACAGTCACCCGAAAACTTCCCTGTTAGGTTCATCTTCACATTTTTTTTGTGAAAATATAAAGATTCAGAGATGTTAAATAACCTACTTAATACTACTGAATAATTAACAGAGTAGGGATTCAAACTGCATGATCTCCTCCAACCCCTTTTATTTTAAATTTTGATACAAGATCTCACTAAGTTGCCCAGGTTAGCCTTGAACTAGCAGTCCTCCTGCTGCATCCTCCCAAGTTGCTAGGATTACAGAAGTATGTTGCCATGCCTGCTTCAAACTGTATGATCTTTATCATTTTGCTATAATTGACCCTATCTTAGACTTAACAGAGACCAAAAACCACAAGCTTGCACAAGGAAGTATACAAGAGTGGTTACCAGAGACTGGGGAGAAGAAGGGAAGGGGTTTAGGGAGAGGATGGCTAGCTGTGGTATAATGTTACAGTGAGAGGAATAAATTATAGTGTTCTTTAGCACAGTAGGGTGAATATAATTGATAAAAATGCATTGTAATATATCAAAGTAGTTAGAAAAGGATTTTGAATGTACTCACCATACAGAAATGAGAGCTTAAGGTAATGGATATGCTAATTACTCTGATTTGATCATTTCATAGTTTATTCAACAATCAAGACGTCACATAGCACCTTAAAATGTGATACAAAAAAAATTGATACAAATTTTTATATCAAACAAAAAATAAATTAGTAAAATAAAAAAAAAAACAAAGAAAGAAAGGAACCATTTCATATCTTTGATGAAGCCTGAAAAGAGAAATCAGATACCTGGCTTTCAGATGTGGAGACATCGATCACACACTGTTAGTAGAGCAACACTGAGAAAGGCAGGCAGATAGGCTATGGGAGAAACTAATGGAGCTGAAATTGAACTCTACTACCAAAAAGAAATTTGGTAGAGTTTTGAGTTGAAATATGAAAAACAGGTCAGGTATCTGGATCTAGGTCTCATTCTATACCTAAGAGAGGGTGCTAGTGAGATAGAGATGCTTCTCTTGTCTTGCTCTTTTCTTCCCATCTCTTCAGAGTCCTCTTCAAAGTTCATTTCAAGTAAACACTCAATGTTTCCTATGACAGAAAAGATTCTGTGTTTCCAATCCGGATAGATGTACATTTTTCATGATTAAGATTTCTGAGGATGTTGTTGGCTTAGGTGAGCAGCCCTTGGAAGCAAGGTCGCCAGAGTGTTCTAGAGGAGCTACCCAGTGCCACTTCTGCCATGCCTGAGTTCCATGGTTGTCACCTGATATCCATTTATTCTTGCTTGGAAGCTTCCTTTAACTTAACTTCTTACAGTACAGGTGTGCTAGTCACAAATTCTCTCACCTTTTGTTGGGTGGAGAATTTTGGGTTGGCTTTTTGTTTCTTCCTCTCAGAGGTGTCACTTCATTGTCATTGCATAATTTGTGACAAAATTCTTACCTTTGATCTATTGTATGTGCATTTTTTTTCATGGCCTCCTTTAAGATTTTCTTTGGTTTTGTACAATTTGAACAGAATATGTTTAGGTGTGTGCGGTAATTTTGAGAGTTTATTCAATGTGCTTTAAGTATCATGAAGCTTTTTTTTTGAATTTATGGTTTGATGTCTGTGTCTTTTGAAATTGCAGTTATACATGTTTTAGATTATTTGATGTTGCCTCACAACTCTTTCATTTTTCAATTTTCATTAGTTTTTTTCTCTTTGTATTTTATTTCAAGTAATTTCTATTTACCTATTTTCAAGTTTACTGATTTTCCCCCCCTCAACTGTTTCCAGTCTACCAATGAACCCATCAAAGGAATGCTTCATCTCTGATACTATGCTTTGCTTTTTTAAAATTTTTATTGAGTGCATTATAATTATATATAATAGTGAGATTCATTGTTGCATATCATACTCTGATAACCAGGTTTATATTTTTATTTGAACCCATTTCTCTGCTGAAATTCTTTGTCTTTTTATTCATGTTTCTTACCTTTAACAGGCATTTCATTATTTTAATCACAGTTACTTTAAAGTCCCTATCTTAATTGTTCCATCATGTGAGTCATTCATTTAGTTGTACTGACTGCCTCCCCTCTTGACTGAGAGATACTCTTCCTTGCGTTTTTAACTTTGAATGATAGTTGGTTTATCACATTTAGAACAGACTGAAATAAAATTACACATGCCAGGTATGGTGACACACCTCTCTGAGTTTCAGATACTCAGGCTGGGCAGGTGGCACAGACCTGTAATCCCAGTGGTTCAGGAGGCTGAGACAGGAGGATCGAGAGTTGAAAGCCAGCCTCAGCAATGGCATGGCACTAGGCAACTCAGTGAGAACCTGTCTCTAAATAAAATACAAAATAAGGCTAGGGATGTGGCTCAATGGTTAAGTGCCCCTTAGTTCAATCCCTGGTACCAAAGAAAGAGAAAAAAGTTTCAGCTACTCAGGAGACTGAGGCAGGAGGATCCCTAAGCCCATGAGTTTGAGACAAGCCTGGGCAGTATAGTGAGATCCTGTCTTTAAAAAAAAAAAAAAAAAAAAAGATACTCATGTACACCCACACTTGAGAATAGACAAACGTTTTCTCTTAGACTTTTAGTAGGCAGGGTGGGGTTTTGTGTTTTCTTTAGTGCTTGGGTGAATTACTGCAATGCATCACAGGTTTCACATTTCCTTAGTAATGTACTATAGTTTTCATTGTGCTTAATGTAGGAGTTTGGATATACAACAAGACCTGTATGTGAATAGTATGTAACTTAGTCATAATGTAAACTAGAATAATGATCTGAATAAATAATGTTACAATTGTGTTGGGGGAGTGTGAGGATGGCAAGTGTTTCTGCTTTGTAAAGGCTTATGGGGATGCAAACCATGAGTTAAATGTTCATGATGAGTTAAATATTCACCCCACTATGTGAGGTCAATAGTTAATACCTAAAATGAGAACTAAAAATACCAATATAGGCATGTCATTTAGAAATGATGAGGCAAATATTAAACAAATAGGCTTCAAGAAGTTAAAATCTATGGTTCTGAAGTGAGTGAGAGGAGGAAAGGAGTCAGGGAAGTGCCATTTTATTTCTAAGCCGCAAAAAAACTATATGACATCAAGCAGGGCATGGAGGCACATGCCTGTAATCCCATGGTTCAGGAGGCTGAGGCAGGAGGATTACAAGTTTGAGGACAACCTGGGTCACTTAGCAGGACCCTGTCTCAAAATTAAAAAAATAAAAAGGGCTGGGAATGTAGCTCAGTGGTAGAGCACCCCTGGGTTCAATCATCAGTATCAGGGGAAGAAAGAAAAGGACTATAAAACATTCTAAAATCAGTGAACATAAGACTTCGATAAAATTAAGCATTTCAAGTTCTAGAAATACAAAATTTGATAAAGTTTAAAACTAACTTCAAAAAGGTTATGGGTAAAAGAATAAGGAAAACAGGCCTTCATATGATGATAAAGGGATTAAAACTACGACCTTTAAGAAGGCCGTAGCACTTTCCATTAGAATTACAAATTCAGTGTTAACTTCTCTGAAGTTGAACTGCACATATAGATATACCAGAAAATTGTTTCATTTCACACTTATATATAACGAGACTAGAAACAATCTAAGTGTTATCAGTAAGGGAGTGGTTAATGCCATATAGTGGAATAATATCTAGCCATTCAAGAAACCAGGAGGCTGTTTATGTACTAATGTGGAATGATACCCTAGATACGTTGCCAAGTGAAAAGGCAAGATGCAGAACAGTGTGTATGGTATATTGCCACTTCTGGAAGTAAAAGAAAAGCAGAGGAAATGAGCATTAAAATATAAATTTTGATTTGAATATGCATAAGTGGTCTTTAGGTTACACTGGAAACTAGAAATAGTTTGCTTTCAGGAAAGTGAATTTGATGACTAAGGGATAGGAGTGGAAGGGAAGATTTTTCACAGTACATCTTTGTAATGCCTTTTTAATTTTAATCCATTTGAGTTAATTACCCATATAGTTTTTAAAAATAATAAAAATTGTTAAATACATTGGACTGTCCACACAGAATATAAATCTAACTTGATTTGTGCCTAATTTCCATTACATATTATAAATTCCAAGTGGATAAAATAACTTGATGAGAAAATCAGAATTTTAAAATCTTGGGAGATGATTTATGACATTAGGGCTGGGTAAGCTTTTTTGTTTTGTTTGTTTGTTTGCAGGGGGAGGTTATTTTAAGACACAAAATCATATCTCAAAAAAGAGAAGGTTGGTTGGTTAATTTGACTACATTAAAATTTAAAACTAACATAAAAACACCGTAAAAGGAATGCCTTGGCTCTCACAGACTGAGAGAAAACTGTACACATTTTCAGAATGATTTAAGCCAGGCATGGTGGTCCAGTTTTATAATCTCAGCAACTTATTTTTTAATTATTTTTTATTTAATTATTTAATTTAATTATTTTTTATTCTGTCTTAGAATGAAAAATATTAAAAGCATATATTTAAAACTTTTTGGCAGGTGGAATGACACTTTATCTGCTTTTTTGATCTTTTATTTATTTTTCACTTGTCTGTATACTGTGAACATCTCTCCATTTTAACCAACACACAACATTACACATCTTAAACCCCTTCTCTAGGTATATTGTAACAGAGGATTTATTTTTCTCTAATAATATTGATTGAATATGATTCAGTCTGAAGGAATGATGGCTATGTGAAAAAATATTGAGATTTTTCTTAGCTCAGAATTATATAGTTTATAGAATTTTAATATATACTTTTCTTCTCTTTTAAAAGACATTATTGCAAGGGCATCTCAAGCAGACGTCGTTACAATCGCGATTTGGAACAGGATGAAGCATTTATTCCAGTGGGAGAATCATTAAAAGACCTTATTGATCAGTCACAGAGTTCTGGTAGTGGATCTGGATTACCATTATTGGTAGGTTAAAGTTTCATAGTAAGCACTAGGTATGGTAGTGTGTGCCTATAATCCCAGCAACTCAGGACATTGAGGCAGGAAAGTCACAAGTTTGAAACCAAAAAATAAAAGGGCTGGACAGAGTTGGGGATGGTTAAGGGGAGGCAATGCAGAATGAATTCTTTTAAAAAATCATGTGTTGTGCACGTATAAATAGATGACAGGGAACTTCATCTTTATGGGTAGGTAAAAAGAACCAATTAAATATAAATTAATGGATGAGCAAAAGGAAATCTAGTAGGGTAGGCGAAAGAGAATGGGAGAGCACCCTTATAAAACACTAAATATCCAGATTAGTTTTTAATTGGTTAATTGCATTTGTTGAAAGTAAATACATTGATATCCTGTTTAAAAATTTGGCTAATGAAATCTGTAATTAGGAAGGTGAAAAATAAACTATCTTCATATACAGTCTTGATTGTTTATGTAGAAGATCCCAAAACATGGGACAGTAAAGCTACTATAACCAATAAGTGAGTTTATCAAGTTGCAGAATATAGTCATTCTATAAATATTAAGACTTTATATACACACTAGCAACAAACAACTGGAAATTAAAATTTAAAATTAATATTTAAAATAGTATCAAAAGTACTGGAGATACAGCTCATGGACACTCTGCTATGGAACTACATCCTCAGCCTACCCTCACTTTAATCTTTTTTAATTTTAATTTTCTTAATTTTTATTTTTATTTATTTATTTATTTTAGTTGTAGATCGATAGAATACCTTTATTCTTATTTATTTTTATGTGATACTGAGCATTAGACCTAGTGCCTCACATGTGCCTGGCAAGTGTAAGTGTTCTATCACTGAGCTACAACCCCAGCCCATCCTCAGCCCTTTTCATCTTTTATTTAGAGACAAGATTTGACTAAGTTGCCCAGACTTAACCTCAAACTTGCAGTCCTCTTCCTGAGCCTCCAAGGGCTGGGATTACCACCGTACCATCTTGCCCAGTCTAATTTTTTTAAATGAACAAAAGATTTGAACTGGTACTGCTTCAAATAAGATAAAAGAATAGCAGATAAGTACATGAAAAGGTGCTCTATAACATTAGGGATGTGCAGATTAAACAATGAAGTACTACTACATTCACCTTAATGATTAAGACTGACATTATTAAGTACCAACAAAGATATATAGATGAGCTACAAATTTCATACATCATGAATTGGAATGCAAAATGGTATAGCCAGTTTGAAAACCAGTTTGCCAATTGACCGGAAAGTTAAGCATATAATTTCTTGATATTGAAGCAGTTCTTCTGCTGTTTTACCTAAGAAATAAATATAAAAATATATCTACAAAGACTTGAATGTTAATTTTGTCATAGCAGTTATATTCATAACAGACATAAATTAGGAACAGTCCAGAAGTGCATCGTTGGTAAATGGATAAACAAATTGTGGAACATTTATACAACAGAAAATTACTCATCAAACCCTTAATACACATTAGGAGTTTGATTGCATGACTACATGCATTTTTTAAAACTCCTAATACACATCAAACTCCTAATACAACAGAGTATTACCCATTAAACTCCTAATACACACACAACATGGATCAGTTTCAAAAGGATTATATGCTAAATGAAAGAAGCCAGGGGCTGGAGTTGTAGTTCAGTGGTAGAGCACTTACCTAGTACATGTGAGGCACTGGGTTCTATCCTCAGCACTACATAAAAATAAGTAAAGTTTTTAAAAGAGCCAGACACAAAAGGCTACATATTGTATGTTTCTGTTTACATGGTATTCTAGAAAAAGTAAAACTATAGGGACAGAAAACAAATCTGTTGTCAATGACTAGGGGAGGGGGTTAAACTTAAGTGGGAAATTTTGTAGGCAATGGAAATGTTCTTTATCTTGAATGTGATATTGGTGTTTGCATGATTGCATGCATTTTTCAAAACTTATTGTACTATTCTCAAAAAAGATTAATTTTATTGGATATAAATTATACCTCAATATTCCTGACTTTTAAAAAATATTACAAAAGGATTCTGTAATAAATGATGCATAAAGTAAGCCAGATGAGATTTATGCAAACTTTAGTCCTAGTTCATTTTAGATGCACTTCTAACCTGGAACGTAGCGTCCTTTTAAATTTAAAATAATCACTAATGCTTCTGAAAATGAAAGGTAAAGTACTTATTGTATTTCAGATATTATCCCAAATAAATACCTGTATTCTGTGAGCAGGGAGTGTAATTCAAGCAAAGATGTATGTCAATAAGATTGTAATTGTGATAAGCACAGTAATTGAGAAGTATCCATGTGCTATAAAGTTGTTAAAGCTAGACAAACAGCACTCTAAGAGAATTGGATATACAGCAAGAGCTTGAGATGAGAATAAACGAGTGAATTCTAAAAGTTGAAATAAATAAGTAAAAGGAGTGCATGTTAAGTGTTCATAGTGAATGCTGGGGCTGGGCCAGACTATATTGCACCTTAGAGACCAAGGTGAAGAGATTTATTCAATTTGCTACATAATAAATGACCACAAAACTTAGTGGCTTAAAACCACAAATATGGGCTAGGGATGTAGCTGAGTTGGTAGGGTGCTTGTCTCATATGCACAAGGCCCTGGGTTCAATCCCCAGCACCAAAGAAAAACAAACACACAAAAAAGCATTTATTATTTCTCAAGATTCTGTGGTTCTGCTGGGCCACTTATTTTCTAGACTTGATGCTATCTGTTGTAAAGAGGGTTTCCAAAAACACCTAGAAAGGACAAGCTCCTATATGTAAACATTTATCAAGTCTTTTTTTATAGCACATTTGCTATTCTGTTGCCCAAAGCAAGTCATGTAGCCAAAGCCTGATTCCTTAAGGAAAGTGACTACTCAAGGGTGACCACTTCGGGGCACAATTATCCCATTGACTAATTTGTTAATGATTTCAGAATACATTGTACAGTGTTTCTTCTTTTAAATATAGTATAAGTTTTAACATTGGAATTGGTTGGTTGGATATACCTGGCTTTTTGATGGAGTATCTTATCCCTTTGTCAGTTTAAATGGGTTATTTTTAAGAATGCAAAACCTTTTTACTTTTTTCTGTGAAGGTTCAGAGAACTATTGCCAAACAGATTCAGATGGTTCGGCAAGTTGGTAAAGGCCGGTATGGAGAAGTGTGGATGGGTAAATGGCGTGGTGAAAAAGTGGCAGTCAAAGTGTTTTTTACCACTGAAGAAGCTAGCTGGTTTCGAGAAACGGAAATCTACCAAACTGTGCTAATGCGCCATGAAAATATACTTGGTGAGTATGATTTGATTTTAGTCTGTTCCACATCTGACAAGGGTATGGGATACAAGTAGAAACCTGCCGTGTGGGTATGTGCATTTGGCTAAAGGAAGCCCAGTAGAGTACACAGTTTAAATACAACAGTCCTAACCATGCACTTTATTTGCTTCCCAGCTGAATAAATAGCAATGAGTTTCAGGTGGACAGTAATTCTAGTTTATTGGACTTACTCAAATGAAAACCAATTCTTTTATAAGCAACTTAAGCAGTTTTCTAGGGTAACTTTAACTGTTTCTTCCTTTTACTTTTTATAAGCCCAATAACCTAATGTGAAGCTTCATTTTATGTTCTGTGCTTAGTACTATTTCTCTTCCTACCTCATGTATGCAGTAGCAAAATAATCTAGGTATGATCTAATCAGTATAGTGCTTAGCTATATCTAGATTTCCTGAGATTTCTTTTTTTCTCTATTCCTCGAGAGTGAATATAGCACATTGTCAGGCATATAACAAGCACTTGTATTTTTTTCCTGTTGCTGCTATAACAAATTGTCATGAATTGGGTGGTGTAAAACAACAGAATTTTGTTTTCTCAGAGCTTCAGAGGCTAGAAGTTTAAAATCAGTTGTTGCCATGGTCATTCTCCCTCTGAAGGCTCTATGGGATCTCTCTTGCTCCTTCCTGGCTGTAGGTGGTTGCCAGCAATCTGTGCTATTCCTTGCCTTATAGACAATGCTTCAATCTCTACTTCTCTCATGATGTGGTCTTCTTCCCTGTATGCCAGTATCTGCATTTCCATCTTATAGGATACCTGTCAGTGAATTAGAGCCCACCCTAATCTTGTTGCCCCATCTACAAAAACGCTATTTCCAAACAGGTCACGTTTATAGATTCTAGGTGAATTTGGGGGCAACATTATTCAACTCAGAAGAGTACTCACCAACCTTAAGGGAGAGACGAAGAGAAAGGACAACGTAAATTTGACAGTACTGTGGATCAGTAGTCAGTGAGCCAGACTGAAAAAACAGATGAGGCATTGATGGGCTAGTTGAGTGAGCTGATTTAGTTAGGAGCTAACTCTTGGTTAAGCATTATGTACTTTATTAAAGTGTCTACTTTTGAATTTGAAATTGAAAGCCTTTTCCACTAGAGAATCATGTTTTTTCCCTAGTCATATTACTATTACTTTCATGATTATTGTTAGGATTATTGTAAATTTATTGCAGAAGTCTAGTTATTTGTATAAGTGACAGAAATAAAATTTTTGGTAATACATTCAAGAATTTTGGCAGGCAAGTCAAATTAATATTACTATCTATACATGATAATGTAAGTAATTCTCAGTATCCTGAATGAGTATTCGTGATTCCTCCTAGCCTTCTCTAATTATAACTACATTTTTAAACTCATTAATTGGACAGGTTTTATAGCAGCAGATATTAAAGGCACAGGTTCCTGGACTCAACTCTATTTGATTACTGATTATCATGAAAATGGATCTCTCTATGACTTCCTGAAATGTGCTACACTAGACACCAGAGCCCTGCTCAAGTTGGCTTATTCAGCTGCCTGTGGTCTGTGCCACCTCCACACAGAAATTTATGGCACCCAAGGAAAGCCTGCAATTGCTCATCGAGATCTAAAGAGCAAAAATATCCTCATCAAGAAAAATGGAAGTTGCTGCATTGCTGACCTGGGCCTTGCTGTTAAATTCAACAGGTAGGTGGTTCTTTGCTCCACTGTTTTGAAATTATTTTAATTTCTAAAAGATACCTACTTGTTTGTATTCAGTGCAGTGGAATTCTAAAAATGTGTAAATATTCATTAATTAGGTCAATAAATATATAGTTTAAAATTTTGGTTAATCTATTTGTAAAAATTATACATAATTCTTGATTTCCTGCTTTTTATTGTAATAGACATCTTTCTGTTTCAGTTTATTTATGTTTACCTCATTCTTTTTGATAAATTCATAGTGTTCAGTAATATGGATGTACATTTTTCTGTGCTCCAACTAAGGGACATTAAGATCGCCTCCCATGTATTTATTTATTTATATTTTAAGTCTTAATGAACGTTATTGTATTTTATTCATATAGATACTATATTCTTGAGTACTTCTACAGGTATTTCTTCATGATGGACTCCTAGAGAAGGACTATTGACAAAGAGTTTGAACAAATAATTTTTTTAAAAAGAGACAGTTTATATATATATTAAATTATGATATATTGCATATTATCCCTTCAGAAATCATGCCTCAGTTTATATCTTTCTCTAAGTGGGGAAAGATAAGCATGCTGGTTCTCCATTATCGCTTAATATTCTCAGTTTTTAATAGTATAGAATTATAAAATTTTCAGAAAATCATTGAAGCCATTTTAATGTTATAACCCCAGAATACAGCAGTTGTTTTACATTTCACAATTCATATCAGGCCATAAATGAAAGTTCTAGTTTATATTTTTTATTATTTTTTAAATTAAATTTTTTTTTTTTTTTTTGAGTTGTTGATAATCCTTTATTTATTTCAAGTGGTGCTGAGAATCAAACCCAGTGCCTCACACATGCCAGGCAAGTGCACTACCGCTCAGCCACAGCCACAGCCCCAAGTTTTAGTTTATGAAACAACTGTAAGAACCACCTAGATCTTCTTCCTTGGGTGTTGTAGTATTCTAAATTGATGTAGTGTTTGTTGGCTTAAATATTTCTTCAATTCTACATGAGAAAATACAATGTGTCATATTTATTTCTGCTTGAGAATAATTGCTAGAACCTGCTAGACCTAAGGGCATAAACAATAAAGCAGTGATGTCTTCAACTTTAAAATTTAATCTTGGGCTGGGGTTGTAGCTCAGTAGTAGAGCGCCTGCCTAGCATGTATGAGGCACTGGGTTTAATTCTCAGAACCACATATAAATAAATAAAATAAAGGTCCATTAATAACTAAAAAATATATTTTTTAAAAAAATCTCAATTAAAAACTAATAAATCATTTATTACTGATTATTAATATGTTTATGTAGACATTACTCATAACAACTAATTTCACTGAAACAATGTAATCCTGTGTCTTGAATGCTGAATTTACCATGTGAGAGTGACAAAAGCAGATGATTCATTCTCATATTCATTTCTTTGTAAATATAATTATCTACCACTTTTTTTTTGCGGGGGGGGGGTGGCGGCGGCTGGTACTAGGGATTGAATTTGGAAGCACTCAACCATTGAGCCACATCCCCAACCCAATTTGTATTTTATTTAGAATCAGGGTCTCATTGAGTTATTTAGCACCTTGTCATTGCTGAGGCTGGATTTGATCTTGCAATCCTCCTGTCTCAGCCTCTCAAGCTGCTAGGATTATAGGCATGAGCTACCAAGCCTGGCTTACTTTTTCTTATATTAAGTGTTATTCTCTTTCTTAGAGAGGCACCAAACTGTTTTGGTGATAAAACCTGACTTGAACCTGATATTTGGCCTTTATTTTTGGCCTTCATTCAGTTTAGTGAGAATAGTCAGACTAGTGTTTCACTACAGACATAGTAATGATGTTAAGGAGCAGTGCACACCCTACTATAATATATAACATACTTAAAGGGCATATTTTCTAAATTCTGAAGATGCTAAATTTCATTTCTAGCCCCAAGGATTTCTGATAAGGAAATAAATACACACACACACACGTTTACACATATATGTACGCGTGTATATTTATTTTAGAAAGAGAACCCTTATAAAGTATAACTAAAACACAAGATAAACAATTTTGTTCTTGGCTCTCAACCTAGATGTTGTCTTTCTCCTGTTGCAGTGATACAAATGAAGTTGATGTGCCCTTGAATACCAGAGTGGGAACCAAACGTTATATGGCTCCAGAAGTGCTAGATGAAAGCCTGAATAAAAACCATTTCCAGCCTTATATAATGGCTGACATCTATAGCTTTGGCCTGATCATTTGGGAAATGGCTCGTCGTTGTATCACAGGAGGTAAGAGTTTGAGTAATGTGTTTCTGATTCTTTGATTTTTTTTTTTTAATTAAAAGTTTCAGTTATGTAATGGTAACTTCATATATATGTCAGGAGTTCCCAGGACCACTCACATTTTCTGTGGAGGGACCCACAGAACTAAGCATGTAGTTGTCCTCATTGCTCAGATTTATTATACTGAAAGGATACGAATCAAAATCAGCAAAAGGAGAATGTGCTTCAGGCAAAATTCTAAGAGAAACAGGCAAAACTTCCAAAAGTCCTGTCCTAATGGAGAGCAAATTGTGATGTATTTGAAGCAATGTAATCTAGAGAAGCTCATTAGACACTCAACACCAATAGATTTTATTGGATTCTAGTCATATGAGGATCTTTTACCTGGCAGGTACCAATTCCAGACTCCAGAATTCTGAACACAAGTGTTTAGCACACACCAAATTGTTTATACAAATGATATGAGAACAGGGAGACACATGTCAGTTTAGGAATGTTTCCATCTTTGTAGGGAACTGTTTTTCATTCAGGTTCCCAGACACTAGCCAAGGGCCAACCTTGTAGTTGGGCCTTTCTAAGGAGAACAGTCTCATACTTGTTGCTTTACTCTCTTTGTGCATCATGGTGAGTCTTTCTCCTGCAAAATAATAATAATAATGACAACAACTGCATTCATTATTATAAGGAATAGTTGGGTAAGTAGAAGATACTTAGATTGAGATTAAAAGTTTTCAGGGTAAGTGAATGATTTTTTTTTCTTTTACTCTGCTAAGGAATATATTAGTATACCCTTTGTTGATAGACTGTCAAAATTGTGATGGGGTTTCTGGTTGAGGTAGAGAAATAATGGGACATAAATAAGAGAAAATTATGCATTTGCTACTAAAAGTGAACACTCCAGTCAATATTTCTTTTCTTCTTTATGTAGGAATTCATTTTAGTCACAGTTCAGTGAGAAAGGCTGCATAAATCCATGTATTTTGTTCGCCACCATTTTTATGGCTGCTGTGTTTTCTCTCTCCCAACAGGGATAGTAGAGGAGTACCAATTGCCATATTACAACATGGTACCCAGTGACCCATCCTATGAAGATATGCGTGAGGTTGTATGTGTCAAACGTTTGCGGCCAATTGTGTCTAACCGATGGAACAGTGATGAAGTAAGTGGAGCTCATCCCCTGAAGAAGTTCTAGATGAATATTCCCAAAGATGATTTCTGCTCATTATGTACTGTTTACTTTTCAGTGTCTACGAGCAGTTTTGAAGCTGATGTCAGAATGCTGGGCCCACAATCCAGCCTCCAGACTTACAGCATTGAGAATCAAGAAGACACTTGCGAAGATGGTGGAATCCCAAGATGTAAAGATTTGACAGTTAAACCACCCTGAGGAGAAATTCTGAACTGCAAGAACTATGTTCTCCCAAGAACAGGTGGAATTAGCATGGATTAAGGATTTTGACTTGGTTCTCAGACTCTTTCCTCACTATACCTTCACAGGCTGCTAACATTAAACCTTTCAGTACTCTTGTAGGTGACAAGCTGGAAACTTCTAAACACTTCGTTCTTTACATGTGGACAACTTTATTTTAAATGTGGTTTTTGATGCCTTCTTTTTTTTATTGGATTTTTATGAACTGCATCAAAACTTCAGTCCTGATGAATAAGTCTCCAGTCAAACTCTGGGTACTGAATTGCCTGTTCATAAAATGGTGCTTTCTGTGAAAGCCTTAGAAGCTAAATGAGTTCAGCAGAGATGGAGAAATACACACTTTTGCCTTCTACCTGAGAAAATTAAATTTGTTTGTATCCTACCTTTGTAAAACAGCCTATAGATTGTGATCTCTTTGGAATTCTGCTTAGTTCATGATAGTACATCATGCTTTCCTGGATGACGGTGTGTGTGTGTGTGTGCATGTGCACACATACACCAGTATTCCTCTGCTGCCATTTGAATTAGAAGAAAATAATTTATAAATGCACAGGAAGATGTTGGTGGCTGGTGGTTTTGTGCTTTAAAAATGCAATATCTGACCAGGATTCGCCAATTTCATAAAAGCCATTTACCTTGCAATTAAGGTAGCTTCCCGCCAACTATATCTTTTACCATATAATTACTATGAAAGCCAAAAGAAGTTTAAAATGTTTGTAAATTTGGACTCTTTTCCTTCTACCACCGTCTTTTTTTTTTTGGTAATTATTTTGTCATGAGAAGCATTCTATCCAAAGTTGTAGTTTCTAATGCCATGAACCATGCTTATAAACACTTCTTATTGAAGTGAATTATTGCATTTGATAGCAATGTAAGTGCCTATAATCATGTTCTGTATTCTTTATTCTCAGTAACTTTTAAAAGGGAAGTTATTTATATTTTGTGTGTAATGTGCTTTATTTGCAAAACACCTGCTCTTTTACAACTATATTTTATATATGTACATACATTCACACTACAGAAACCAGCTCACATGTACCTCACATTCTTAAAGGAAAAAATGTTCTAAAGTACAACTTCATTTGAGTTTTTTCAGAATTAATGTATCCAAAGTAACATCAAATCCTGGACTTTATTAACTTCAAGCAAAACTTCATTAAGATAATACCCATCTGAGTTTTCCTTTATAAAAGGATGCTATAATTAGGAATTTATGTCAGAGCTAACATAAGTTTATCAATGATTCTTAAGTATGTTTTTGACATAGATTTAATCATTTGATATATTTGGTTTTACAGTTTATAGTCCCAAATTTGTGAAGACAATGAAGAGTAAGGCAAAAACTGAGTATTTAGTACCCTCATCTACACTGTATAGCTGTTTATTCAATAAAATGATAGGTATTTTATAGAGGCTTTGTTATCTCAAGGAATACTGATTTACTTAAATACATTATGTTTCTATAGTATCTTTTAAATATTAATCTCCTAAACAGCCAACTCATGAGAGCATCAAGTAAAACAAATTACTTTGAATGGAACATGAAATAAAGTGATTGTGTCACAACATAGTGAAAAAGTTCAAACTTTTAAAAATTTTTTAGAAAGAAGAAAAAAAGCTTAAAGGGGGGGGAAAACCAGAGCATGTGCCCACCTGTCACCAAAAACTTGACTGTCATCTGAAGCTAAAATTAATATATTATTTAACACACATTAGATGGATAAGTTTCATTTAACAAAAAGTTTGAAGGTTCATTATGAAATAAATTTGCATATTGATATTACCCCAAAACTTGCTTTTTCAGAATGTGTTTCCCATCCGTACACTGAGAAATACAGATATTTTAATCAGGATTACCATGTGATTGGAGACAAGTAAAAAAACTTAATTTACGTAGTCCAAGTTAACCATGATTTATTTTTGCCTTGACAACTGTCAATCTTAAAAATTATTTAGCATCTTAGTAATGAAGAGAATATGTATAGAAAGGCAAACTTTATTCTTAGAAATGTTTTTTAAATGGTGTATGTAGCTGGGCACAGTTGGTGCATGACTATAATCCCAGTGACTCCAGAGGCTGAGGCAGGAGGATTGCAAGTTTAAAGTCAGCCTCAGCAATTTATCGAGGCCCTAAGCAACTTAATGAGGCCATGTCTCAAAATAGAAAGGGCTGGGGATGTGGCTCAGTGGTTAAGGGCCTTTGAATTCAATCACAATACCCATGCTACTCCCCTGTTTAAAAAAAAAAAAAAAGTGGATGTAGCCACTGTAAAGATTTTTTTTAAACAAACTCGATCTAGTAAAAGTGGTATCAAGAATTAACCTTAGAAACATGGTCAATAAAACATTTTCTAGTATAACATGTTTGTTAAAAGCAAATGCTAGCCAGGCATGATGGTGCATACTTGTAATACCAGCAGTTTGGGAGGCTGAGACAGGAAGATCTTGAGTTGAAAGCCAGCCTCAACAAGGGAAAGGCACTAAGCAATTCAGTGAGACCTTGTCTCTAAAGAAAATACAAAATTGGGCTGCCGATGTGGCTTAGTGGTTGAGTGCCCCTGAGTTCAATCCCTAATAACCCCTCCTCCCCACCCCCAAAAAGCAAATGCGGCCATATTTACAATCTAAAATCTAAAAACCTTTCATGAAACTTATTTTCTTCTTTCACCCTTTTACTTTTAAGTTTGAAGTTCATGCAGTAAATGAAATATTTAAAGACTAGTAAGAAGTATTATATAGTACCATAGTTAATAATTTGTAAAATGCTGGAAGCCATTATTTGACCCCACTTATAATTTAGCATTCAAAAAAATATGTGGCTTTACACAGTTATTCCTTTAAATAATTAAAACATAAAAACTTCAAAAATCAAAACAACAGAATATAAAAAGCAAAAGTTAACCCTCAAAGAAAATTCTTCTCATGAATTCTCTTTGTGCTTCTATTCAATAGCATTAAAAGCATATTAAGATTCCTTCAGGATTGAGGGTATGGCTTAGTGGTAGAGCACTTGTTTAATATGTGTGAGGCCCTGGGTTAAATCCCCAATGTAGTGCCTGCCCCCCATCAAAAAAACAATTACTTCAGTTTGTTTATTCTAAACATTTTTTTTTTCTTTTTTGGCAGCACTGGAGATCAAACCCAAGGCCTTTTTTTTAAAAAAAAAAAATTTGTTTTAGTTATACATAGGCAAGATATCATTATTTTGTTTGTTTATTTTTTTGTGGTGCTGAGGATCCCAACCCAGTGCCTTGCACATGCGAGGCGAGCGCTCTACCACTGAGCCACAACCCCAGCCCAAGATTTTTTTTTCTTTATTGGCAGCACTGGAGATCAAACCCAAGGCCTTTTTTTTAAAAAAAAAAATTTGTTTTAGTTATACATAGGCAAGATATCATTATTTTGTTTGTTTATTTTTTTGTGGTGCTGAGGATCCCAACCCAGTGCCTCATGTATTCGAGGCAAGTGCTCTGCCACTGAGCCACAATCGTAGCCCCCAAACCCAAGACCTTTATGTGCTAGGCAAGTGCTGTACTACTGAGCTACATCCCAGCCCTACTGTGCTTTCTTATTGAACAAGTTTTGGAAATATAAAGTTTAAATCTGATTTCTTCTGGAATTATTTTCACAAAAGAAATTCTAATCAACATGTTAGGTTGCCTTCCCGATGTCCAGAAGTGCTTCTAAATTTAGAAAGTGACTTTTCCTTTTTGTAAAATGTTTTCCTACAATGTGCCATGTTTTTATGTATGCACTCTAACAAATATTCAATATTTTTTTTCAGATGCTTTTTTCTCTTTAGAACAAAAATATAATACAATTTTTAAAGACACATGCATTTCTGAGTTGTCCCAAGGTCATATTTGACACTGAGTAATTAAAACACATTTCTTTTCATATATATTGTTTTGAAATGTTTTTAAACATCTAAAATAATTTCAATAGAAATATTGATTTATAAAAGAAATTGTTGTAGTCCTTGTACTGTTAAAAGTGGTAATATCATATTGATTGAGTCAAATGTTAAAGTGGCAGTGTAGCAGTTCAAAATCTTGCCTCAGTATTGTTAGGAGAGTCACAATGGAAACTGCAGAGAGGAAATCTGTTCCTAAGAACCAAATTAAATCTAGAGCAGCAGCATATGAATCCACGTGGAAAGATTATCCCATGAAGACAATACGTGAATATGGCTTTTGCAAAGGATTAAGTATACTGTAATTTAAGCTTGTGCTCTCTACTCCGCTTTTAATGGAATTATTTAAGCTCTTTTAGTGACCTTTGTTCTTTCCCACTTAAAAACTAAAATGTAGTATATGTTGTATAAAATGAAAATATCATTATAGCTTAATTAGGAAACTGTACATAGGCATTGAAAAAAGGGTTTAAAAAAAGCAGTTTTATTATGCAATTGTAAAACACCAAAAATATAGATTCATGTTTGATATGTAACACACTAAATGTATTTTGTACAGCATCTGGTTTAAAAGGTGCCTTAAGTTTACCATTAATTGCTTTGTTCTATTTTCAGATTATGTCCTATGTATCATTTTTAAGTAAATAACCTTATTTTAGTATACTTTAGTGATGTGTTTTGTGATATTGCTCTTGGATTGTATTGTTTATCAGTCATCTGATTAGTTTATATAACAAATAAGACAGTGTACGTACAGGCTCCTGGGGTGCCCATTTCAGCTTCTAAAAACCCAACATGGAATTTGGGTAGATAAGTGACTGCACACTCCTGCGTTTGTATAGAGATTTTACAAGCCTATTCTAGTGAAGGGATTTTTTCCCCTTTTATAAAAAAGCAAAACATTGTTTTCTAATTTTAAAAATATGAATGCATAACAAATTTGGGGAAGCAGGAAAGAATAAAGAAGCAAATAAAAATTACTCAAATTTTTATTGCCAGACATTACCACTACTTATATTTGAATGTTTTAATCTTTTTGTTTTTTCTACAATATTAAGCTCATAATATCCCATTAAATATTCATTAAATGTAATTTTTTAAAAGAAATTTACTATAATATTCCACCAGTTAGTTGGAATAATTTATTTTTTTAAGTCAATCCCCTATTGGGTGTGGCCATATATGCATAGTGTTGGAGATTGAACCCAGGGCCAGGCACTCTCCCTCTGAGCTACACTTCCAGCCCTTTTAAAATTTTTATTCTGACTGGTCATGGTGATACATGCCTACAATCCAATTGAGTAGAGAGGCTGAGGCAGGAGGATTGCAAGTTCGAGGGCAGCCTCAGCAACTTAGACCCTATGTCAAAATAAAACATAAAAAGGGTTGGGGAATATAGCTCAATGGCAAAACATCCCTGCATTCAATTCCCTGTACCAAAAGAAAAAAAAAAATGTTGGATTCTGTCTTCTCCCACCTTCCATTGAAGCTTGTTTATTTTCTGTTGTGTGTGAACTCTGCCCATCAGTGTGCCTTCTGGTGTCTTGTCTTAGGGAACTCAACTTGTGGAATAACCAAAAAATATTGAGCACTGAACCAGGTGTGGTAGCCAACTCCTGTAATCCCAGTTACTCCCAGCTCTTCGGTAGGCTAAGGCAGGAGAATTGAAAGCTCAAGGCCAGCCTCTGCAACTTAGCAAGACCTTATTTCAAAATATAAAAAGGGTTGGGGTTGTAGCTCAGTGGTTAAAAAAAGATTTGGCATTGGTTGATGTCTCTCAAAAGAAAAGCATGTTTGGAGATAGCTTATTACAAATTCCTTACACTTGTCCCTATTTAGTGTTAGTTTCTTAAAATGAGCATACACTCTAATGCCCTATGCCAAAATGACATTATCCCAGGAATTTTAGATACTTGGTACTTTCTTTCCATTTATAGAGATACTGACCTGAAAACAGTAAATTTGTCTTTTCTTCCCAGTATAAGCTGTGATACTCATTGCTCAATTGGAAGAAATTACTTCTAAGTCTTCCTTAATAGTATTCATAGACCTTAGGAAACAGCAGTGTTTAGTCCTTGTAGATAATTTCAAGCAGACACTTTCTGAGTCTTCATCTATTGGATACCTGCTGATGTAGTGCGTTGACATTTCTGGTGTGGTGTGTTTTACTAATTAAGGTGCATGTTCCTAAAATGCCTTGTTTTAGCTCTGAGGCCATCCATATAGCCAAGGAATGTGTCCAGTCAGCAGTGTGGGTGAGATCACCTGACGTCATGGCATGTCAATAATGAGCACAGGATAAGAGCAGAAAGAGGCAAGTAACCCTGTTGCTGGGTATTAGAGACCCAACGAGTTAAAGTGCAAAGGTACATACAAAAAATATTTTTGACAAAAGTAGGGACTGGAGCTGAAATGTTTAGAATTATCCTTTGGGGTAGGAATTTCTGTTTTCATTTTTAAATGAAGTATGTGTGATCTACCTATTATTCCTCTGAATTTTATCAGCTCTCTGGCCATTGTCCAGTACCTTTCACTCTTAGTCACCCATGCATGCTCAGACCATGGAATCCAAGGTGATTCCAGGTCTCCCAAGTGTCCCTACACCCACCTCTCTCATCCTAAACTTCATGTGGGGACTTGAACTCCCAAAGTGTTACCATTTTCTAAAAGTCACATAGAATATTTGGTTTGAATGTATCTTCAAGCCAGGAGAAGAAGAAAATTTGGGGGAGCCAGTGTTTAAAGCAATTCAGACTCAGGATGATGAGTCAGGTTGCTGAAGCATGTCTGTTGCTCTAATGCTCAAATGCAAGTTGTGGAAAGCTTGTTAGAAGAAAGAAGTCAAGTGAGACACAAAAGACTAATACTGTTGTGAGAACTAGTTCAGTGGAACATTTTAAAAGCAGTTTTTATTCCTTGACTCTGTCCTCATACTTGGCCAGTATGAGACTGGAGTTGAATTTAACTAAAGAGATTTCTCCCTGATCTCCCAGTATCCCATTTTGGTGCCAGTGAGAAGTCTGACATGTATCTAACTCATGACACATTATGTAGTTAATTTGTTTTTCCAATCAAGGAACAGGATTTTTTTTTCTTGTATTGAAGTTTAAACTTGCCATGTCTAGGTGTATTCATTCTATTGCTTAGTTCTAATTAATTGGGTCCTTTTAATCTTCCCTTGAACTAGAGAACTTTTCTCCTGTTATTGCTTTGTTTACTCTCTCTTTACCTTCATCTTTCCAGAACTTCCATTAGATATTTTTTATTTATTATTTATTTTAAGACCAGATCTCACTATGTTGCCCAGGCTGGTCTTAAACTCATGGGCTAGAGTGATCATCTCACTTTAGCCTCTCAAGTAGCTAAAACCACAGGTATGTGCCA